AAAGACCTACCAGCCACTATCCATCTGTATTAAAAGACCTACCAGCCACTATCCATCTATAATCAACAGCACACTGGTTGGATGGCTTTAGAGACTGGTCAACTATTACACCAAGATCCCTTTCTTTCATGACAATGTTAAGGTTATTCCCACTCAAATTATTTTTATAATTCAAATTCTGATAACCCACATACATTATCTTGCATTTATTATAATTAAAATCCATTTTCCATTTATTTGCTCAACTCACTAAATGAACTAAATTATTTTGTAAAGTAGCAGCATCCCCTTCACAGCTAGCAACACCCAAGACCTCAGTATGAGTATTCAAAAGAGCATGCATGATTCAGTGAAATAAAAGCTATATATATAATATGTATACTTAACTTTTTTTTAATACCAATCTTGCTCATAAAGTTTTGTTTTGAACTGAAGTATTGAAACTAATAATATACAGTTAAAACTGATATATTATCTACATAAGTTATTTTGCTATTACAAATAGAAAAATTTATTATAATATAAGCAAATTAGAAGATTACAAGTTTCTGACATTCTCAGTAAAAAATCAGACTGAGAATTTGAGTAATTTATTGTTACAAAAGCCTAAGGTAAGCCTGAGGTAAGTCTAGGAGGTTAGTATTACAAACAAATATTTTTGTCATAAATGTACTATTTAGCAGAGATTGTTTGCATTAAAATTATGGATTATTAACTTAGTAAACTTTAGGGACTAATGTTTAAATATTAATGAGAAATTTACTGAATCTTCAAAAGATACAGTGATCTCTTTCCTTATCCTGTAAGGTTATTGTTTTTTAAATAGCTATGAAGTTCATTTGAATGAGAATTTCTCAATATAAAAAATAATTACGCCCTTAGGATTAAAAACATTTTTTTCTTTTTCCTTTTTATACTTGAATGATAAAACTCTCCATATTCATGAATTATCCCATAACTCTTTATTTATCCATTTGTAATCCAAATTATATTTTATTTTTTTTACTGGGAAAGTGTATTTTCAATTTTATATAATTTCACAACATATTATAACACACAAAAAAACAAACAATGAAGCTGTGAAGCTCTGCTACAAGGAGAGAGATGTAATTGAATTACTCGGTCTTTGAAATTCATTGGACATCTAAGTGTTTAAGTTGTAATTTATCAATCACATTCCTACAAATATTGGTTTAGCACATTGTAAAATTATTTTGTTTCAAATGTGAGTGTGTACAAATATCAAATCTCTGAAGATCGTGATTTCTGCACGATGAAATTAGCATTTTTATGGTTAAGGTGTCAAAATATGCAGAGGGTATGTGTTGTACTATAGATAATTTATGATTTACTAATCTTAAAAATACTGTCTTAATATGGTTATTTACTTAATACAGTTAATATAAATATTACTCACAATAAAAACTTTCAATTATCATTTTTCCCTCAGGTTGCAAACACATAATTTTGACATGTTGGATTCAGGTAAAAGTGACATTTATATATATATATATGGAAAAATATGGATCCTTGGCTACAAAATCAGAATTGCTGTAGAAGGTAAGAAGTGAAACATATACAAAGCTTATTATTAAATATCACCATCTTTCTATGTGTTCTACCATTGATTTACAAATGCATTCGCAGCTAACTAGCAAGATAATATATTTTTTGCTGTGCGTAAAATTCTGTAGATAATACTGTACAAATAAATTGACTTAAGAAATCAAAGTATATTTTCAATCAGTAAACCACAAACACTCAATTAACACATGTTGTCAAGTAATTTTGTCAACAGATTTCACTCAGCAACAAGAATTAAGTCAATGCAAATGGCAATGATCACATAATGTATGTAGCTACTTACTACAAAGTATCCCTACATTCACATCCTTATGGTGCACCACTAAAAGATGCTGAGAGTTCAGTAATCAGAAATTTTGCAGGAAAAAGTATTCAAACATTAGTGTGCATTTTCTGTCCTGCATGCAGTGTAGCAGTGCTTTTTATGTGTACTATAACTTTTGTAAATATAAATAAGAAAAGAAAAATAGCTAAAAGCTAAAAACACTAAGAAACAAATACCTCTGTAATATTTATTTAAAAATAGCACATTTTTATTATGGGTTCTGATTTAAACAGATCTTAACTCTATCACTGCAACTGGGTCAAAGTGCACGTCATGATCTTTTACAGTTTTACGTTCAAAATATAATTAAACAACTTTGTTATCAATGTATGTCAATAAACTTGGCATGAAAATGAAACTTATAATTCATATTTTTATATTAACTGATATAAAGATATATTTAAATAAATTATCATTCTTCATATTTTTGTGTCACATGCTGTGTATGATCTCCGAAATCTCATCATCAGAATTTTCTAGCTAAAATGATAGTCTTCTACATTTTCCAAACACAAATTAAACATAATTACAAGCAAGAATATAAAGTTTCAACCTCTTGACTTATTGAGATATCAATACATTTGTCAAACCTATTAGTAAAGTCCCTACCCCCTCTCTCTTTCTTTACAGATTGTTTGCTAATCAACTTACATGGCTAATGGAGATGTTTAAACCAATAAAAAGAGCAGATACTCCTCTATATAAGGCTCATTACATTTTCTCATTACAATAGTTGTTTGATGCACAAACTTTGTAATCCTACTCTGAACATCTAACGAACTTTAACCTACTTATTGCTTATTTAGAAAACCAGATAAATTATAGTAGTTTTGGAATGAGGCTTAGGGGAGAACAATTATTTTTACTCAAATACAAACAGTTCAAATATGAGTTGAGTCCTAGAAATTGCTTTTTATGTACGCTCTTTATTTGTTATTATATAGTTTTTAACAAAAGTAAATAAAATATAAAAATTATAAACTTATCAACTTAACCTAATAAAACTATAGTAAAATAAAACTTTTCAAGTTACTCTAACTCCATCTTATGTAACAGGACTAGAGCTAATGAGATCCTACTGTGGTTTATTGCTTTTTATGTGAGTTCGATGACTACAACTACAAAGGACAACAATAAAACCATACATTTAAAAATGAAAACGTTTGTGGTTGAAACTGTAACTTGGAAGTTATTTGTGTTTAATACTGCAGTCACTGCAATTCCAAAAGAAAAATGGCATTATTCATTGTATTTCATATTTTTCAACTTCTTATTTCACTGTACAATGATGATTTTGCTACATTATTCTTAGGGTAGACAAAATAAGAGATAAAATATAAAGATTTACCAAAGAAAAAAACTTGATATTCATAGAGATGGTTGTAGAGTTTATGCAAATAAAATATGAAAAACTGTAAGATAAATAGAAGTATTTTGTTCTTAACATGAAAATCATCTTTCACTTAGACTGACTCATTAAAGGCTTCAGAAATTCAAAGACAAATCTTCAGTAAAATTACTTTATTGAAAAAAAACTTATTTTTTGTGTACAATAGACTTCTAATACTTAGACTTCTAACAGCTTGCCACACTTTGTGAAGATACACATAGTAAATTCAGAATTATAGTAATGGACTGAAACTGTACTTAAAGTATTAATTAATAAATAAATTGTGTTTTTAATACCATGTGGGTAAGAAAAAATTAAGCTTTACTTGTTGTTTGCATCATTCTGAGGCATTGGATCACTGTCCCCACCATTGATATCCAAGCTTGCCAGATGATCCTGTTTAAAACATAAGACAGAAATATACTAATACTGCATCCAACTTTCAAACGCATAACCACAAAAAGCTTAGTGCACAGCAATATTATGCCTTCAAATAGGTTTACCCTTACAGTAGTCATCAACTTCAGCATATCTTTAAAGTCACGAGTTTTAATATTATGCATAATTATACACTTTTGTTTTATCCTTTTGCTTTGTTGTTATGAATTTTGAGTTTCTTAGATCCTGACACAATAAGAAGCAAAGTTACAAAAGGCCACTTGGCTTTCAAGGCAACCACTCAACTTGGCTTTACAATTGCATATATGAAATAAAGCATAAATCATTCTACACAGACAACATGTGGATCTGTACTTCCAAAGCTACATACCACCCATTATTAAAGTGTCTATTTACAACATTGTCATCCCTATTCCTCTCCTCTTAAACATATATTTCAGAAACCTAATTTATATTACCTTTAGTAATTATACACCCCAGAAAAAATAATCCAAGTTAGTTTTTTAACTAAGCATCATTTTAGTAGTATGCCTTTTCAATTTTGAAAAATTACAATAATATTGTTAATTTCAAATCTTAAGTTCCAAAAATTTATTAACTCATCTTTACCACAGTTGAAGGTTCAGCAAAAGTTTAATTTCAAACTTTTACCAACAATCATGATTGTAATTAAACCCTTCTCTTTTTTAACATAAAATTAAGGATCCTACCATATGTAATTAAATGGTTCTTTCCACTCATATTATCTACAAATATTATGACCCACAGAATTATCCGAGTTATCAACATTTATAATTAACCAAATAAACCCCCGAGGCAAACCAGAAGTTGCATTCTCACCATCAAACATTTGCTCATTTTATTTCCATTCACCTGTTTCTACCAATAAATCTAATTAGCTTAAATATTTCACCAACTTCTGTTAAAATCAAAGCCTTATATAATAAGGCATCTATCTGGATGTCCTCATTCAAAACAGAAAAACTATCAAAAATTTCCAAATAATTGACAAGCTTAAAAAACAAATCCTGAAACCATGCTTATTGATTGGGAAATACTATTTTCATGGTGCTTTTCTAACAATCTTGCTGACAACACAAATCAATCTAATAAATCTAACACATCTCTTCATTTAAAAAAAAAAAAGAAAGTTATTACATGAGGAACCTCTCAGTCAAAAGAAACTTTCACAATGTCCTCAACACATCACAACTCCCTACTCAGTTTCTTCAAACTTTTGGAATTAATCATGTCATGGTTAACTCTACTCTCGAAAAGTTCCCAAGTTTTACTACCAACACCTTTTTCAACAATAATAGAAGTTAAAGAAAGCTAAGCATCACATTTAAGCAAACTAATCAGATTTGGTATATGTTCTTCTCAATTATGTAAAATGCAAGTAAAATAATACGTTATCACTTTAGTTGTGTTTCTTTTTTATATAATAAGAATAGTTTTAGAATGACTTTCAGATAAATTTCACTTATAACTTCTTTTATAGTAAAATTAAAGCATAAAAAATACTCAAATTTAGTGTATTGAGCTAAAGTACTATCATAATCCCTCTGAACCTTCATATCAGCTTTCCTGACCACTTTTTTTCATTTTGATAAATTTCAATATCTTTTATTTTACAGGTAACTTTCCAACACTTATAAACTTCACAATCCTGTTCATTTACCATTTAAATAAGTTTTAATTTATCCATTTCAAAATGCAAGATTTTAAAAAGACTATATTTCTTTCACCTAATATGAACAAACTATTATATTCCACATATTTATATTAGACACTCAGCCATTTTCTTTCATCATTTCCTACAATTTAAAAAGTTGCTTATTTAAAATTTGGTGTCAACCCACACAACTGAATAGTGTTTTGTAAATTACTAACAATTTCATGATTCCTAATTATACTGCAAGTACATTTTTCAAATATCCCTTTTTGTAACAATACAGCATCCAATTAGTTTTTCATTTTTAGAATTCAAATGAATTTCAAACTGGTACTTACCTCTAACTTACCAAAAGCTTTTCCTTGTTGAGTTTGAACTCATGCTGTCAATAAAACATGTAGTTAAAATTTCTGAATGTCCTTTAAATACTTGTATAACAAATATGTCACCCATAATACTCCACTCTTCCATTTTCCACATTATTTACTGTGCAGGTGTCAATGGATCTTACATAACCATAAGTTAGATTTATTTCAAAGTTTTAGTCATGATGAATACTTGGTTGTGAGGAGTTGGGAGAAGAGGTATTTCAGAGTTAAGTGACTGCTTGAAAATCATTTTAATCCTGAAAATGTTAAATTCAAATCAGACAAATATACCTTTAAGATACTGAAAGTCCAAAAAAACACAACTACTGAGCAGAAAATTAAGCTATGTAGACTACAATAAAAATTGCAACCAGAACATGAAAAAAATTGTTAGAACTTAGGTCCAGAAAGAATGAATGGAGCAGACCAACCTTATAGAAAAAAAGAATGGGCCTAAAGATCACTCAGATGGAAGGCATTCTTCTGAGCAGGGTACTTCTTTGCCCAAGACACTCTTGTGGCACAGAGGTCTGTTTTGTGAGCAGTAACAGTGTACAGCACTAGTAAATTTAACAATGGTATATTGACGATGGAATAAACAGATTGGAGGAATACTATGTCCTACTCCTGCAGTGGATGGTTCTCAGGGAAGCAGTCCAGATACATATCATGAAAGTACATACTCCAGAGACAGTAGCCCCTCTTCATCCATATCTGTAATGGCTAGGAAGTCAGAACACAGCCAAACTAACAGGACCCCTAGGACTAGCACAGAGCTATATGTATCTTACGAGAATTCCTACTGGTAGTTTTTTTGCTGCTGTTCTTATTAATACACACACAAACAGTACGGTGCAAAAGTGCTAGGTCGAGAGAATATTTTGTCATTTTTTCCATTTTATGGGGCTAATTCTTCCAAGCCATTACAGAGCCCCTCAGTGGCACAGCGGTATGTCTGGACTTACAACGCTAGAAACCGGGTTTCGATACCTATGGTGGGCAGAGCACAGATAGCCCTTGTGTAGCTTTGTGCATAATTAAAAACAAACAAACAAACCATTACAGAATGTAAATTTCAACACTATGGTAATGCTTCACTGATCCTTGTTGACAACTGAATGAGCCAGGATGAGATTACTTATCATTCTTTAGAATTCCCATATATTTGTACCAAGGGCATATCATAAGGGTTCTGCTTGAATGAATATACTGATAAAACTTATGGTCTGAAATAGCTTTCATGGTACCCCATGCAGTGTCTTAACTATATAGAAAGAAGCTAGCAAGGAGCTAGCATATGGTAATGGTATATGCTAGAAGAAATCAATTTAATATCACTCCACAAATAAACCTTGATAAAAATAGTGTTTAACACTATATATATCAAGTTTTGTTGTCATGCTACGGCCCAAAAAGTGTAGAGAATTGTCAGTAGAGCAGACAGTTTGCATAAAAGCTTTATGTTATGCTAGTTGAACCCTCTGACAAATTGCTGCAGACTTGAAATGCTCTCCAAACACTGTTAAATAAATCCTAAATCATGAGACCAAGACAAATAAATTTGAAAATAGGAAAGGAAGAGGCAAAACACTTAAACTCAATGATACTGATGTTAAGTATCTTCGTTTATGCAGCCTTCGAGACAGAAGAAAGACTACCACTGATCTCAAGCATGAGATAAGTGACCATGTACCAAATGACAGAAAAGTTTCCAGATCTATAGTATCAAGAAGACTCAATAAGAATGGAATATTTGGTCGTGTAGCGGTTAAAAAAACCTTTACTTCGATCTCCAAATATTGTCAAGTGACTGAAATTTCCATAAAAGCACAAAAACTGGACTGTTGGTGATTGGAAAAGGGTGTTATGGACAGATGAGTCCAAGTTTGAAATATTTGGCTCAAAACGTAGGTTGCACGTCCGACAGAAGAAAGGTGAAAAATACTTACCTCAATGCATAGCACCTACCATGAAGCAAGGGGGAGGCAGTGTGTTGGTTTGGGGGGTGTTTTTCTGCTAAAGCAACAGGAGGTATTTGCAAAATTGATGGCATAATGGACCAGTGCAAGTACCATCAGATACTGATCCTTCATGGTATACCCAATGGTTTGTGTATTATTGGTAAAGGACTCTACTACCAAGATGATAATGACCTCAAACACTCATCCAACCTATGCAGAAATTACTTAGCTAAGAAAGAAGCTGCTGGTGTCATTCAAATGATGCAATGGCCCTCACAGAACCCTGATCTCAACCCAACTGAGCAGATCTGGGATTTGATAAATCAAAAACTTGAAAATCAAAACTGGATGTAAATCTGTCTGAACTTAATGACAGCCAGGGCAAGTGGTAAATGAACCAGAGTCCAAAAACAAAAGAGAAGTGATAAAAGATTCAAAAACTTCATGAGGAGAAGCAACACACAGGAAGCAGAGCCACCAAAAATTAGGAAGATGAGGAGGTCATTCCGAAAGAGAAAGGGTGTCAGGACTGAAAAGTCAATTAGCAATGAGTACAAAGCATCTACAACACAACCATCCAGGAAACGCATGTCAAGTGTGTGGGTTCAAAAAAGGAAATCCACTGTATACCACAAAGAGAACAAGAATAAGTGTCCCTTTGGTGAGGGATATATGCCACCACTGTCAAAAAGTGAAAAGGAAACAGAATTAGTCAAATACAGACAGGAGGAAGAGAGTGAAATAAAGCACCTTGGACTGGCAGAAGTGCCCAAGTTTGAAAGGGATGAGGCCTTCTGTCTGTAGATCATTGTCCTGAAGCCTCCTACTGATCGAACCACACACCCCACCTTTGGAGATGAGCATCAGGAAAGAGAAACAATCAAGAAGATGGGAAGAAAGCAGTAAACATTACATCGTGGGATAAAGTTCAAATATCATCACATATACACTAAGAGGGAAGGATGAAAATTAAAAGGAAAACTCAAAGTAAAGGTTCAGATAACAAAAAAACTTCAAATTCATTCAAGGAAAATAATGGATGGTCCCAATGGAGGGGGGTGTTTAAAAATACACACCCCCTAAGAGACTACAATGTGAGGAAAAACTTATCCAACTGGAAAATCCAACTACCCGAGCTGACTGTGGAAGGAGTAGATGAGTATGTTAAGACAACCCCCATTTGGAAGGAGATAATGGAAGCTAGACATGAATGGTATAGTTAAAATCCCCCAAAATGTGGAAGTCAAGTAAAATGCAGACCATCCCACAAAAGTCATATGGAATCGAAACAAGTCCAAAGGTCAAGGCACAAAACTGATACCAAATCACGTGGTGAAAAAAACGAAGATAAGAACGTGTACCGTGGGCATTTTTCTCAATCATGCAGAAACAGCTTACCCAAATGTGATCAAAGACCACATATTAAAACAGGGAAGACCCAAGAAGTGATTGAGGTGAGACTAATGAATCCAAAACTCCAATCAGCAGAGCATACAAAACAAATGAAGAAAATCTGTAAGTACGACAGGTAAAGGACACGAAGGTGCTGACATATAAAATGAATAAAGATGATAATATTTCAGAATGAAAGAAAAGAGCAACTAAAATAAAAATTTTATATATCATGACAGATACCCCACATGATACTAAATGTACAGGAGTGGCCTCATAAAATGGACTGGTGGAGAAAAAGAACTGACTGTAAGTCCCTATTAGCAGTGGATGGTAAACAAACAGCAGTGTCCCACCCTTGAAGATCCCAAAAGCAAAGAAGCCACGTGTGGAGGGAAAGAACTGAAGATGGGAAACACCCAAATATGGAGGAAAGAAGAAGAAGGTAACCCATGAAAACCCTAAATATAAGTGGAACACTGACAAAAAGAGGTGAAAGGTAAACATTACCCATTGGAATCAGTCAATTCCAGATGTGGGAGCTTCAAGGCTTGTGGCATGTGCAACCCAATTCAGGATTTCAGCATTGGAAGTCCATAAACTTATCACTGACCCACTAGTGGAAGCTACACCAAAGAAGAACATTACATACATGATTCTAGAATAGAATGATAAAAGAAAACAAAAATAAGATGCTAAAACCCTAATCAATTCCTGTGGGTAAGCTTCTCTAAACAAGAAAAAGTTACAGTAAAAGACCTGCAAAGACAAAAATGAAGTATGATTTTTTATTCTTTTTCTTAAAAATACATATATATTTAAGCATGGAGGTCATCAAAGGAAAAAAAGTACCTTTTAACACTGACTGACAAATGAAAGCGTCAGTGGAACATAACAGTCAAATAATAGATAAAATATCAGTGAAACATGTAGGTATGTCAAAGTAGATACTGTGATCCTGAGCAAAAGAATCAGGAGAATAAAAACAACAAAAAATGGTTCAGAAAAAGAATATCTTAAAACAAGCCAAATCATAGTGTGCAATATATATATACAAAGCTAGTTTCCAAAATTAACCCCAACCCCAAAATCAAGAGAAAAAATAAATAAAATTTCAAGTATGGAAATCATCTCGTATGACACAAGCACCCTCAGGCATAACTGAAATAGATTCAATATTAAAAATATAAAGCACACCTGAAAGCAAAAGAAATTGAGAAAATTTAGACCAGCAAGTAAGTTTAGAATGAGGGCTAGCATTGTGACAGGTAAAACCAGCTCTGCATATATGAAATGCAATGAGGCCTGATCAAAAATGACCTTCATTAAAAAAGGAAAATTGTAAATGGTATGCAAATAAAGCATTCTTACAAACAGTATATCAGTAATACCATAATAAAATGACATGAATACATGCAACAATCAATTCTGAGAATGCACTGACAATTTCAACCTGCACACTACAGGCAATTTGCATCAATAAGGGCTGCAACAAAAGAAAATAAAGTCCAATAATAGTGTAAATAGTCATCTGAAAGGACATCATGACAACACAAATAGCACGACTTGTCCACAAAACAATCTCACTTACAGAAAATTAGAGCTAGTAGATTCAACTGAAGCATGTACAATAAGTCACACGGAAGATGGGAAAATTGAGAATTTTGGGGATAAGTGATATGCAAATACATAGGAGACATTCAGACAATCTGAGTCACGTTTTGTTGATATTTTACGTTCAAACAAACAAAAAAGACTTTCACTGTTTCAGAGGCAAGTGTGCCTGATTTGAATTTCATGACACAAAGTAAACCTACATCTCTACACACAAGAAGAAAAGTTTCATTTCTAGAAAGTTTACACTAATTTTTTAATGTAATATAAAAAATTAAGAATGCCTAGTATACTATCTATCAATATATCAGTCTAAATTCTAAATTCTGGGTAGAATGGTTATAATATAAACAAAGTATTGACTTACAAAATTCTGGATCAGGTCAGGATGGTTAGTCTGGATGCCATCATCCAAAATGGTTACTACCACAGTTTTTCCTGTGTAACCTTTATCCCATGCTGGTTTAACATTCATGTCATATCCACCCTTTCCACCATGGTGCTGAAATGGAAATCAAATGGCCATGTTTGAATGATACACTAACTAAAGAGAACTTGTACCTACATATGTCCTCAAATCCAGAATATCTGTTCATCTATTGTCTCAGTCATCTATTCAATTTTACTTCCACAAAAGAAGAGTCCACTTTTAAATGTTTTGAGAAAATAACACAAGTTCTTTTAATATTCTAGAAAAAAGAACTCGCATATAATCTCTTCTCATTTACAGTTTTGGAAAATCTTTTATTTTTATTCCCCAAACAGAAGAGTACTCTTTTAAAATTTTGACAGACTAATCCAAGTTCTTTTATTATGAAAAATATTCAGATTTGTACATACGATATTAATTTATCATTATTATACACCTTCTTCCATGATCCCACAAGAAAATACCATTCTCTATTAACCATAGTAAATACTGTTATTCTAATTCAAAATTATAATAAAACATACTATTTTCTTCCAGCAAAACAAATTATTCTTTTTTAGTTTTTTAATAAAATATTAAATTATCTTTTATTATCTACACAAATATTTTTGTTGTTACTAAATTTATTAACAATAACTTCCCAGTGAAAGCAAAAAAGAATGTATAATAATATATCAACCATACTATATATTTGATATATCCAGTGTCAATGAGACCTTTTTTCTAATGTCAGGATTGTTCAGGCCAACTGGGATACAAAGAAATAGTAGCAGTTGTTACAGTGTGAGCTGGATTAAACTGGTGAATTCTAATTTTTCATATCCTATATCTATTTATTTATTTAACACCACATAGCAATTATATTCTTAAATTAACCTGTTCATTATATAGAAGAACTAAAGAATCAGCAGGTTAGTTTTCTTGATACTTTTCTATGACATTTCATCATTCTTACTACCTTAAATGTAACAAGTGTTCTATTTTACAAAGATTAAAGAGCACAGCTTGTTCTTAGTGTCCAGACTGAGCAGTGCAAAGTAATCTCTTGTCTTCATAAACCACACGTGATGGATTTCTCTCCAAACAAAACAATACCTCCCCATCTAACCTCAAAATTGTAGATCAAATTTTACTAACTTAATAGAATATCATAAACAGTACATTGTTTTATACAAAATAGTACTTTTTTTTTAAACACATATGCATTTTCAATTCTAATTTTTGTTATTTTACTTCTTTAAAGGCTATCTTTGAAAATACAAAAAATTATTTAAAATTATGTAAAAATTTTGAATTTCATATCATTAATGTTTTTAGTAATCCTATAAAATATACTTTTATCTCAGCAGTCAATACATGTCCAAACAGATTTCATCTAAGGATTTTGCTCACAAAAATCAACATTAAATATATCAAATTTTCACTGAATATTAGGCCTCATGAAGATACCATTGGTAATCTCAGTTCAGTACATGAATTATGAGAAACATTTTTCACTTGATTTTGTCGATCACAAAAATTTTTTAATGTCTTTCATAAATCAGCTACTTAAACAAGAACATTATACCAATCCTATGAATAGGAGGGGTAGAAAATACTCATTCTAACTATAGGAGAAATATAACACAGCAATTACATATTGTATCTTTAGGATTAGGCCTGTAACATGCCAGTTTCAAAACCAGTACTGCAAATGAATTGGACACCACCTTGAAATTTGACTTCTGGTGACAAATATGTGGAACATTATCATTTTCGTGATACTTACTCATTGTTATAACTACTGTAGTTATGTCACAGCAATTATACACAAATAAGATGTAGACACATAGATGCAATGTCTTTATCCATTATGACTGAAATTAAAGCTCTCATAAAAAAAAAAACATTATATACAGAAAAATGCTGAATAAATAATTGTTAAAAACTACTTGTGTGATTACCTTTCTCCTCCAAGCATAGTGTGGTTAACATGAGAGATTAAATTATATCTAGCCTTCATTATAATAGTTTTTAGTAGTGTTATGTATCTGCTCGTTTGTTAATTTCAGGTATAAATTCTTTCTGAGGAACTTCAGGGATACAAGTCCTTTCTTAATTAAAACTAGTTTATTCTTTCTTTATACAACTTTGTAATACACAGAATTTCCACAGTCACTTTAAACTTAACAACCTTTATAACACACGCTATAAATCACAGTGGTTCACACACTTTACTTACGGTGCCTACTGTTCGCTTGACTCAATTATCTCTATCTTCAATCTATCTGCATATCTCTCTGCCTATCGCTGGCTTTCTTTGCCAGGCTTATATACTAAAAAAGAGGGTGTCTAGCTAACACTGGGACATTCGCGGGATTCCTCAAGAAGTCATGATCCTTCTAGAAACTCCAGCGCGCATGACTTCTGCTATCTTAACAGTAGCTTTGAGAGAAAAAAAGTATTTTAATGCTTGTAAAGGGTTTGTTTCTATATAAAAGTACAATATGTGTTGTTGTCAAGGTTAGTAGCCTGTATGATCACCTAATTACAATTACTTATACATATACTAATGTATTATTATAAGCATTAGATACTAATTTATTAATTATTTTACACCTTCTGTTTCAGCTGCTAAGATGTTACCATCTTCAGAGGAGCCCTGAGAGCTGTGTGTGGCAGATACACAATTTGATCCTGAGTTTTCTTGTTAGAAAGACAGGTGTGATATCCATTTGTCAGACTCTCAACCTGTTGATTCAACTATTTACAGTTTTCAAGAGAAGTGTCTTGATTATGCTGACTTCTATGCTAGGTTGGTAGAGTATGTTATTAGTTAGTTGGATGTACAAAAATTGTTATCTTTCTTTTTTTCGTGTGTTTCATATCCCATTTATTAATATTATTCCAATTCTATTATACGATATTCCTCTCTGACATGATATTACAGTCTTTTAAAGTCTTAGTCTACTGTGCTTCTCTAACATACTAGTGTATTGTAGAAAAAAAAAAAAAGTACCACAGCTGTCCCAATGATCAATGACATTTTTCATAACTCATAATTTTACTTTCATAATTACTGTCAAAAAATTATACTATCTTATCACTTAACTGAAGTACATTATTTCATCAGTTACATCAAAATAATTAGTATAAGATACAAAACTTTAAAAATTACAAAACGGATTTAGTAATTTAACATTTTTTGTGTTCTTATTTTTGTATATTTATTTTGCAACTTTGCTTGGGATAGTTGAGAACAATTTTAATAGGTTATGAGCTGATGTGATATGATTAGGTAAACTTTCTATAGTATGTTAAAGTGCTACCATAACTTACTTAATTTCTATTTATCCAGATTTTCAAGAAATGTGCATAACCAGTTATAAAAAGTGTGCTGAATTCAGGTTATTTTTCAATTCAGATTGGCTGAAAGTTCTGCCATTGATTTAATACTTGATATGGAATAAAAATTGGTGTTCCAGATGAAATGCTCTATATAGGAACTCAGACAAAAAGGTGTATTGAACCTGTGAAGACAACAATTGGACACAAGTAGCATAAACATGTAGGAGAAATACTATGTCCTTATCCTACAGTGGAAGATACTTGGGAGAGCAGCCCAGACACATGTTATGAAAGGACATGCTCTATAGGAAGTAACCCTCCTCTTCATCTACATCAAAGTGGTCAGTAAGTCACACAACTGGCCAAAGTAGTGGGTTCTCAGGAAGAACCAAAGAAAGACTCAAGTAGTCCCCACAGATTGACACAACAATGTCAGGACAGTGCAATGGGAACCTCAAAACATTGAAAAATAGAACTACAGATTATCCTCATACTGATTAGACCCAAGATATCTAGTGATAACATTAGTCTTGTTTCTGACAGTTCTTATGTCAAAAAAGGAAATACATGCAAAAGTGGGAATGGTAATTATCAAGCCAACAGATGGCACACTCTGTCTACTTCCAAAAAACAACATCCTCTCATGCAGCTCGTGCACATAGGGTGTATTTTTTTCTTATATACATACATAGAAAAAAAAAAATATATATATATACATATATATATAAAACCAAACATTTCTCCATCTCAGACACCCTTAGGTTTGTGAATAGGGGTGTTGGGCAATACAGAAATACCTGGTTTGCCTAGGACAAATGCAGAGGTTCAAGAACATGAGTGAGTCCTTAATGGACAAATTGATTCAAATATAGATTCTCAATAAAAAAAAAGACTACTTAATTATGGTATTCTTCTTCTTTTGTACTGTTTTTTGTTATTAGATAACATTTAGTGACAATTTTGGGAGCTTGTTGAGACAAATAAAGGTCTCAGTATGCTGTTGGACAACAGGATCAAGAGAAGAAAAAACACTTTGTAAAAATAAAATGTTCAAAAGCATCTTTCTTTGCAATATCCAGGCACACAGATGTATGGTCTCTTCAAAGTGGATAATATATCAGCTAAAATCTTGTAGCTAGAGTGGTTTTTCGATAGACTTTGTGTCATTTTTCCAAAAAACAAAGTTCTTCTGTGCTTGATGGCTTTCTTCATTAGATAAGTCACATTTTGGGAGTTTCTTGTTTGAGCAGACACTGAGCTTTTTCAGTTTTACAGAATAAGTAAGAAAATCAAGCAACAGTTGCCATTGATTCTCATGTAATCTATCTAGTCTTGGCACCTTAGCTTCAAAAAGAAGTACATATTTCTTCAGCAAAGGTAGTACCCATGAATAAATCCCCATGATGAAGGCAGTTGTCTTTTTCATATGAAAGAGCTCCTTGACATTTGCACAATGAATCAAGAGAGAGGAGAATTATGTGTAAGTGAAGTGATACACATGCTCTGCAACACATGGACATTCGACAATTTTTAGCCATACGTTTTGTTGACAATATCAAATCAAAATCAATAAAGAACTACTTCAGTATTTCAGAGGCAAATCTACCTAATTTGACTTGGACAATAGTCAGCATTAATATGCATTCAGTATTAATTACTGTTATTACTATATAAATTTTAACAGAAATTCCAATTTGAAAATATTTTAAATACATATTATAATAATTCTACTTATTAGCAGTTCCATCCCACTCCATCTACATCACACCACTGGTGTGTGTGCTTGCTCTCATTAGGTCTTTCGATGATTTGGTTTGTCTACTGTAATGCATTATGTTGTAACTTCTGAAAACTAAACTCACTTTATACTATTTGTATACCTTTTGAATGTTTTCATAGAGGACTCTGACAAAAATGAATATAACTGTGTGTTTTTCATTTTCTTTCTGTTTATTCTTAGTGCTTATCTTTTTATTTTTCATTAGGTGTTCACAATATCAATTATTAAGAAAGATCATTACGATTTGTTTTCATGATTCTCACTAGGGTCCCACCGTGAAGGGTTCCAAACTCTCAACTTGTTTTTCATGAGTCCCAGTGAGATTTTCAAGGGTCCCAACCTAATTTTCTAGGGTCTCATAGGTATAAATTAATAAACTCAAAAAAAAAAGGAAATGTTCATTAAATGTTTACCTTCTGCAGGTGGAAAAGAGCATGTTAATGTTCAATGAAAAACTTTATTTATAATTTACACTTCATATTATTTCCATTCATGAGTGCAAGCTAAATTTCATGATAAGATTAAGAATACTTTTCTTCATCTGAAAATTTTCAAATGTCATTTTTGCATAACCCCTAAAGCCTCCTAAATAAATATGAAATATTTTTTTTCCAGAAAACCTTTATATTTTACTTCTAATTTTCTTTATCCTAACTCTGTATGAGGTTGGCTGATTTTACTGACCTCGTATCCACCATAAAAAATTAGGAAATAATTCTAAGTTTCCCCTATTTTCTTTCTGGAATGACTGCAAATTGTAACAGATGTTTATCCTAATTAGCTTATAGGTTGTAAAATTATATTTCTATTTATATATAACTTTTATTGTTTTATTGCCTTATGAACCATGTCTAACTACAATTTGTGCCATACAAATTGCAAATCACATGACAAACGTGCAGCACACATTATGGTATTGAATTACATAATGCACAGACTACTCATGAGTGTACTTCATAAAAATTATTAATATTATCCATTTTACTTTATCTAACCTAAAAAAGATTCAATTTTTACGTTTTAGTTACTTTTATAATAATAAATAAAGAATACACATGAAAAACAAGAAATAAAGTATTTACCTGGGCCTTTTTTTTTTTTTTTTTTTTTTTTT